GTATATAATATGTATATTTTAAAGGCTGCCTTCCAGGCCTTCCAGGAAGGTATATGACTATGAACTATGAAACGAACATTGACCATGTCACTTTTTAATAAACACAACATGAAATATCAAATTATTCTTTCCTGTTCCACTCTCCTAAGGGAAAACTCACCAATTTATGGTACCTCTGGGACTTGAGGTTAACACTGTCTTCTACTGCATTATCATCTTCAACAGTTGCTACCTTGGGGTGGAAGTTTGAAGCTGTTGACCAAAAAGTGTCTAGTATGGCCAGAAGTGGGGCAGAAACCATGGACATCATTTCTCTAATTAAGGATGTAGAGTACCAGCATCAGAATCATCTGGAGTGTTTAAAAAACATGCAGATTCCTGGGCCTCAGCCCAGACCTAAAAATCAAAGTATCTGGGGTAGGGCCAGGAAATCTGCATTTTTTTGGAATGTCATCAAGTGATTCTTAGATTCATTAAAGTGTGAGACTTGCTCACGTAGGGTTTCCTTTGAAAATTGTAAGGGCCTGTAACTCTTCCGCTGTTCCCCACAGTTTCACCATGGTGGAGAGTGAGTGGGGCCCCTATATCACCTCTGTTCAGGGCCTAAAGGCCAACAGTAATGACAGAACCTACTGGGAACTTCTGAGTGAAGGCGAACCATTGAGCCAAGGTAAGGAAAGACCCACAGAGTGAAATGCCCAAGCGTTCAGGCATGTGAGGGTGTGAGCCTTTGCGGGGATGTCCCAAGGAGTTGGGAGAGAAAATATCCATTACTTGGTGATTAAGTGGTCAAATCATTTGAGCCATTTCTCGTTCTTCCTTTTCAGGAGCTGGTAGTTATGTTGTCCACGAAGGAGAAAACTTGCAGGTCCGTTGGAGCACATACTAATAAGCCCAAACCTTCCTCAACTGGATAAAAGCCTTTTGCAGTGGAATTCCATGCAAGAAATTGGCCTCATGCCTTCCCTTTTCACTTATCCTAATTCCAATAGGAGAGTCAATAACCTCCCCTTCTCTCTCTGCATGTTCAATTAAAGACTAACAACTATACAAAAAGAGTATGTTCTAAGCACTTCACTTTTTAAAGGATTTTAGAAGTTATTAGAGGGAAGACCACCTCAGGAAGAAGTATAAAGAGATTAGAACACATGTCTAATAGTGGGGGCTCTACTCAATGTTTCCCCACTAACTATCTAGGTGACTTTGGGCAACTTGGGAAATTGGAGATAAGGGTCTAGGTCTAAGGTTGCAGCTGCAGAAAGTTTGCAGGGAAACTGAATTCTCTGAGGCCCAGATGCAAAAGAGAAACCCAGTGGTCATATTGACTTCAGACAGGCAGTGGGTAGAGAGAGAAATGTTGCTCAAAGAAAGCGGGAGATGGGAGACTCCTACATGAACAGTCAGCCTGTAGGTTGAGAAACAATACCATCTCTTCCCCCCAGCTCTGTCTCCCTTGGGTCCCACTGTTCTTCTCCCACATTTATTTTCCTTTTATTTCAGAATAAATCACCCTGATATTCATATCACCAAAATCCACACGCAAAAAAATCACTTCCAATGTTTATTTCCACAGGATTCACATTTAAAAAAAACAAAAAGCTGAATCGCGTGCAGGTGGCATGAGCTGGTTGACACTTTACACCGAGCGCCTGAGTCGCGCACAGATACGGAACCAGAAGTGCCTTTAAGATATCAAAGGGCAAAAGGAGCTTCCTATGAAGCATAAGTAACCCATTTAAATTAACTCTCCCCCCCCCCGCAAAAAAAGAGCCTTCAGGTAGAATTAGTGAGATTGTTTTAGTAATGTCTTCTTCGTTATGCCTTGTGTTTTCTTAATGATCATCTTTGCTCCTGCCCTCCGCCAGCAGCCCTACTTCACTGTCGGACTCAACCCTCTTCCTCCATACTGCCTCTGGCATGGATACTCGACTCTCAGGTGCAACTCTGCCCTGCCCTCATTAACTGGATGTGACTGATGCCCTCACGGAGGGACAGAAATGGATTCTGTCACTTGGGTCTGTGTCTCATTTTGAAAGCTAAGTTACAGAAGCTGGAGGCATGTTACCCTTCCAGGCCACACGGAGCTGTTAGCACAGGGGCAGTTGTCAGATCTGTTTGTAGACTATACAAGCTATGTGAAATTGAAGGATAGTGGTTTAAGGTGACAAATACACAAAATGTTAGAACTGGCATCACTGTCCGTGAGTAGCGTGATCATAAAATTTGTCATCCAACCAGGAAACTGTTAAGAGCAAAAGCAAAGACTATTAATAATTACACTTGAAAAAGAAGCCAGGCAAGATGGCTCACGCCTGTAATCCTAGCACTCTGGGAGGCCAAGGAGGGACCAGCAAGAGCGTGACCCTGCCTCTACTAGAAACAGAAAAATTAGCTAGTCATGGTGGTATGTGCCTGTAGTCCCACCTACTCCGGAGGCTGAGGCAGGAGGATTGCTTGAGCCTGGGAGTTTGAGGTTGCCGTGAGCTATGATGACCCCACTACATTCTAGCTGGGGGCAACAGAGCAAGACTCTGTCTCAAAAAAAAAAAGAAAGAAAGAAAGAAGAGAAATTACTTCCATGCCTTAGACAACATGGAATGATTAAATCAAGCTGATTAATAGATCCATCCTCTTACCTACTTAGTATGTTTTTTGTGAAGAGACATTAGAAAATTACTCTTAGCAATTTTTTTTTTTTTTTTGAGACAGAGTCTCACTCTTTTGCCCAGGCTAGAGTGCCATGGCGTCATCCTAGCTCACAGCAACCTCAAACTCCTGGGCTCAAGCAATCCTACTGCCTCAGCCTCCCGAGTAGCTGGGACTACAGGCATGCACCACCATGCCCGGCTAATTTTTTCTATATATTTTTAGTTGTCCAGTTAATTTCTTTCTATTTTTAGTAGAGACGGGGTCTCGCTCTTGCTCAGGCTGGTTTCAAACTCCTGAGCTCAAACAATCCGCCCGCCTCGGCCTCCCAGAGTGCTAGAATTACAGGCATGAGCCACCGCGCCCGGCCACTCTTAGCAATTTTGAAATACACATTAACTATAGTCACCCTGCTGTACAATAGGTCTAACAAATTTATTCCTCCTAACTGAAACTTTGTACACTTTGACCAACATTTCACTATTCCCTTCTCACCAACATCACACTGTACCCCATAAATATACACCATCATTATCTACCAATTAAAAATAATTTAATTTTTTAAAAAGAAAAAAAAGAAAAACTGGGACAATCCTGGGAAAACCAGTATACATGGTTGGCTTTGTGAATAAGGAAGCTCAAGCAGAAAACACAAGCACAAATACAGTCCTGCATTGCCTAACAACAGGGATACATTCTGAGAAAATACGTCATTGGGCAATTTCATTGTACACAAACATCACTGAAAAAATAGGTCTAATTCAAATTGGTGACAAAGAAGTATTATTGAAAGTGAGCTAGCATCATTGAGAAAGAGTCATTGATCTCCAAGGGACCTATTCCAACCTTGCTACATACAAATGCCTCTAATCTCAGAGAGAGACAGGAAAGGTAATGAAACAACACTTCCTTAGCATTCCACTAACTTTGATTAGTGAAATCTAGTTCTGGCCACACTTGCCTTATGAGAAACTCCTAAGTTTGAGACAATTACAGAACTGGACCAGTCCTCTAGGACAGGAACTTCCATCTGCTGCCACAGCAAAGAGAAAACACCACAAATAAATCTTATTGATGTCTAGAGAAAATCAGGGTGCTTTGATACCAGAAAATTAGGCACGGAAGAAACAAGCAAATGAATAAATAAATAAGCCCAGTCAATAGTTAGTCAAGGATTGCTAAACGCAGTTGTTAAGAAATGTATGGTCTGGGTGGTTCCTGTTCTGCAAGTTATCTGCTGGCTGCAACAATCGTGTCATAATCAGCTTGCAGCAACTATGGTTGTAAGTGGGCATTTACAAGAAGAGTATGTTTAAAGAGCTATGCGCACTACCCGAAGGATGGACATATTTGAAACACGGACTTCGGTGGGGGGGGAACCAAGGGCATCGGTGGGGGGGGAACCAAGGGCAACACACGTAACCTAAACATATGTACACCCATAATTTGCTGAAATAAAAAAATAAATAAATAAATAAATAAATAAAAAAGAGCTGGCACACCAATGGTGTGCAGGTCATCGCAGGGTGGGCAGGAGCAGGGTCTGGACCCCAGAGTTAGCACCATGCCAGATTCTTGATCCTGTATTAGATGCTTATTGTTGCTTATGAGATGCTTATTGTTGCAGATTACCATGAATTTGTTATCTGACAGTTGTGGATGTCAGAAGTCTCACTGGGCTAAAATCAAGGTGTTGAAAGGAATGTGTTCCTTCTAGAGGTTCTAGGGGAAAATCCATTTCCTTGTGTTTTCCGTCTTCTGGAGGCTGCCCACGTCCCATGGCTCATGGCCCCCTTCCACCTTCAAGCCAGCAATTGCAGCATTTTGACCTCTGCCTCCATCATCTCATCTACTTCTCTGACTCTAACTCTCCTTCCTCCCTTTGCCATGTATAAGGACCCCTGTGGTTACATCGGGACCACCCAGATAATCCAAGCTAATCTTCCTCTCTTAAAGTCAATTCATTAGTCACCTTAATTCCATGTGCAACTTTAATTACCTCTTGCCATATAATCTACCTAACATATCCAAGGTGATGACATCCCTGGGATGTGTGACATCTGGTGGGGGAGAAGAACATGTGGTGGGGGAGGGGGAAGAGATGGCATTATTCTGCCTACTAATCCTCCAGCTCATATACCCAAATTGTCTTCCTGGTCTCATCTGCTGCCATATACCATGTATTGGATATATATTGCTCCATAACATTACCCTAAAACTTAGTGGCCTAAAACAATATTTGTTGTCCCACAGTTTCTGTGCGTCAGGAATTCAGAAAGGGCTTAACTGGGTCCTCTGGCTCAGGGTCTCTTATGAGGTTGCAATCAAGATTTCAGCTGGGACTGCCTTCCACTCAAAGCTGGACCGGGGAAGAGTCTGCTTCCAACCTCATTCACATGGCTGTAAGCAGGATTCCTCCCTCCCTGGATGCTGGCTGGAGGCTACTCTCGGGAGAGGGACGTGGGCTTCTCCATAAAGCGGCTCACACTTGGCAGGTGGCTCATCACCACGGGAAGCAAGAAGAGCCAGAAAGTGTAAGCAAAAGAGAAATCAGTCTTGTGCAACCTCTTCTCATCCCTTTTGCTTCATTATATTAATATTTATTAGAAGTGAGGCCAGCCCACACTCTAGGGAAGGAGACTACACGAGGGAATGAATACTGGGAGACAGGAACATGGGGCCACATCAGAAGCTGTCTTGCACACCCCAATATGTACCCTGTGCTCTCACCTCATAAAACCACCAGCATTCTCCAAGGAAGAAAAAAGTGTTTTATAACACATCTTTATTTGCTCATTGATTCATTCATTCAAAAATATTTACTTTATTCATACTGTGAGCTAGGTCATGTTGCAAGTGCTGGGGAGGGAGCTGTGAGGAAAAGAGACAAAGCCCCTGACCCCTTGAAGCAGACGTTCTAGTGGGGAGGAAGGAAAACAATGAACAAGCCCATATATGGCGTGATGGGTCACAGGGTGATGAGTCACAGCAGGAAAGGGACTTGGTGGGTGTCGGTGGAGGTGAGGCTGTCTCACAGAAGGTGGCCTGGGAAGGCCTCTCTAAAAGCCTACCTTTGAGCAGAGACATGAAGGAAGCGAGGGAGCCACCATGAGGCTATTTGGAAGAAGAGAGGCCAGGGAAGAGGGGACATCAAGAGCAAAGGTGGCTGATGTGTTCGAGGAACAGAAGTTCCACATGGCTGCAGCGAAGTGAGCAAAGGAGAAAACGGTGGGACCTGAGGTCGGAAAGGAAATCAGAAGCCAGATCTTCTAAGGCCTTGTAGGTCGTTGAGAGGACTTTGACTTTTATTCTCAAATGAGAGCCACTGGAGAACTTCCCCTTAAAAGGAGCTACTTAAAATGCAGAAAAAAATTAAGCCCCCTCCTTCATAATTTCAAGCGACTATGCACAGTTCTCTCTTATAAGGAGGTATACTTTGCTTTACAATGCAGCTGCACTTCTGGGGAAAATATGTATACGTAATCATTCCCACGTTTTGTCTAACTACTTACTTTAAAAATAACATCTAAAAGCCTTGGGTGTTTGTTTGAGACTGCTTTTATCCCCAGATAAGGAAAGAAAAGTCAAACAAAACCATTTCATGGAAACTTAAATAAATTTCTTGATTAACGTCAAACACCTTTAAAGAAAGAGTCTAGGCTAGAACCCAGGTCCAGGCCAACTTAATTAACTGTATGAAGCCAGACTCCACCTGGCAGTTCCTTACCTGAGAGCCTAAAAGGACATGTTGTAAAGCAGGTGCCTTGGACCATAAAATGAGCTGATGCCTACAAATCCCCCAACCTCAAGGCAATGGCTGGGATAAACAGCCAGGAGGTTGTCTGACCGATACAATAAGACCTGGGAGAGGTCTTGCTGACACTGGCACATTAGCCAAATGTCCCAATGTAACGACCCAGGATTTTGGAAAAGGACACTTTCTCATTGCCCTTGCTGCATGCTCAGCCCTAAGCTTCCCATAGGACTCTGCTGCCTAGAAGTCACCTTCAGACACCTTGGAGGGTCTATAGTAGATAAACTCAGATAAGCAAATGGAAATTAGCTGTATCAGGGAAGGAGAAGTCAGCATAGGTAGTGAGGAGTGGTTGGGTCCAGGGACAGACTGTGTTACAAAGGGAAGCACATATAAGAGAAGGTAGAGAAACACTCCACTTGCAAATACTGGCACCTGTGGACGGGAGACGTGGACAGGACAGAGGACAGGGAGATGGCCTGGTTCACCCTCCACCTCCTGAGCCTTCTCTGGGCTGTGGCTGGGACCAGAACCCAGACCCGGAACTCTTGTTGTGAGTATGATGTTTTTTCCAAGGAGGTCAAGGAGCCAGTTACCTGGGGAAAGGCAGAGACCTCAGACACTGAGGTCTGCTAATGAGAGATGGAAGTAGGACTGCAGGAATGATGGTCACGACACAAAGACAGACACTTGGTGACTATTGTAACCAGACAGCACCACCGAGGGAGGTTCTGGTACCTGCTGAGGACCGAGCATATCCTAAATCTTTAACATGCTTCATAGCAGAGTGAGAGAAAGAAAATGGATGCAAGGAAATCAGTGATTTCTAGGAAGGGGTTAGAAATCATGTGAAATGCTGTGAGCCATATTACTTGGAGTTATCAAATAAAAAATCACTTTCTTAAAAACATGAGTTATTTGAGAAGATGTAGGCACTAACTGGCCTCCAAAGAAAAATCTCAATGTTTTCTCCCATTCTCTTCAGTCACTTAGGATATCAATGCTAATCAAGTCTTCTCCTAAAGGGTGTAAGAGACACAGGAATCATGTTTCTGAGAAGGAACGAAAGTTCAGGGATTGGTAAGTGGTTTTTCTCTCCTCAGCCGTCCCCTCCGCACAGCAGCCCTTGGTGGATGGCATGCAAGTGCTCATGGAGAACTCCGTGACCTCATCCTCCTTCCCAAACCCCAGCATCCTGATTGCCATGAACCTGGCCGGAGCCTACAACGTGGAGGCCCGGCAGCTCCTGACTGATGAGCTCATGGCCAGCGACACGGCAGGTGAGACCCCTGAGCCCCTCACGTGCTTCCCTGAATCTTGTACGCCACTCGCCACCCCCAGATCCCAACTTCGTGTCCCCCACCCCAGTGCTGCCTCTGATTGTAACTTAATTATCCACACACCTTCCCCTGCATACCTGCAAGATACCTGGAAAGAAATACGGGGCAAGTCAGAGCATTCGTGGAGAGGGACTGTAAGGGAGAGAGAGCGCTAGGCTAGATGTGGAAAGAGCAGGCTTCCAGTCCTGGCTCCGCCACTTATTAGCTCTGTGACCTCGAACAAGTCACTTGATCCTGCTCAGCCTCACCTTCCAGAAGATTCTAATCACAATAACACAACTACTAATAATAACAATGATAATAATAAATAATCTCTGTTCTGCCTACCTCCCAGGAGTCGTCTTGAGGCTCGAGTTAGATATTAAAGCTTAAATTACTTTGTAACTGTAAATTTTTAGGTATAGGATTGTATAGGTATTCTTGCTGCTTTTCTAAGCAAATGCCAGGGATTCTTCATGGACTCATCTGTCTGTACAGAGGCCACTAGATTAAATACAAATATTTCCTTAAGTATTTTTTTCTGTATTTCTTTCTTTGGAAAGACAGATCAAAAAACTACTCACACTATTAAAAAGTCAGAATGATCTGGATAAGAAGCAGAGACCCCTGTTCAACTACTAATAATACAAAACTTAAAAGAAGAAGAAGCAGAGAGCTCAGCCCCGGCCCCTGGTGGTGTCTCCCCTGCGAATGTCTTTGCCTAACTGCTTTGTTCTCTCCTCTGCAGACCTGACCGTTGGTCAACTCGCCCTGACCATTATGGCCCTCACCTCCTCCTGCCAAGACCCTGGGGATAGAGTATCGACTCTACAAAAACAAATGGAGAACTGGGCGCCTTCAAGTAGGACCTCGTTAGAAGGGAGGGGAGAGTGAGGCACGTGGCCCTCCCTGGGAATTTTAAACCCAGAAAGGGAAAGGGAGGGGTGGGGAGAATGGAAAGTTAGGAAACAGACACAGGCACCCTTCACTCTGGTCCCTCTGATAATCCGACAAGTGAGTCTCTTCCAATCCAAAATGATCTAGAAAAGACCATTACCCCAGGGACAGACTTGTCAGGCACCCCCTGTCTGAAGACAGCATCATCCCTTTTACTCTATCCAAATGCCAGATGACACTCTTGTTCTGAGGAACGCGGAAGCTGCCCTTTGCCAATACTGTGTATTTCTTTGGGGATGGGTTTTCTAGCAGTTTCTATTTCAAAGTTTTGGCTGTTCCTTGTTCACAAATGTCCTCGTGTTGAATGTTATCTATCCCCTTGAGAGGCTCCGACGCCGAGGCGTCAGCCTTCTACGGACCCGGTCTGGCGATCTTGGCACTGTGCCAGAAGAACTCCGAGGAGACCTTACCAATAGCAGTCCGCTTTTCCAAGACCCTGCTGGCCAATTCCTCTCCCTTCAACGTGGGTGAGTAGGTCGCCACTGCCTTGAGCTGGGGACACCAGAGGCACAGAAGTCAGAACGGTGCGGCTGGCCGGGCAGTGGGAGGAGAGAGCTTCGCGTGGAGGAGGAGCTGAGGACTATCAGCGTGTCTGTAGATGGAAGCTCCTTAGTAAAAGTCTGTTGGACACGTGAGTTAAGGAGTACATGAAGTGAAGGGAGATAGTAACACGCAGCAGCAAGGACAATACTTGAAATGTCTGGCAGCTGCAGAACCTCCACTGGGAACAATAACCGTGCACGCAAGTCAGAGAGTTGTTCCTGCACCGAGTGTTAATGTCTTGCCTTATTCCTGCCCTGCACCCCCTCTTTAATGACTACTGAGGCTTCCTCTCTCCATTTTTCTCAATGCTTCTCCTTATTACATCCAAATACTCTCTATTAAGCAGCTACTTGCTGATCCCTAAAGCCACGATGCTCCCCTTCAAGGAAGCTCTGGGACCACCTTATTTCTTTGTTCTGCAGGGATATGTGCTTGTGAACGGACACGTTTTCCTCTACGGCGCCACGGTGCCCCTTTTCTGTCCACCCTCCTGTGTATAGTGATCCCTTCTCTGTGGGGGCCCCGGTCACAACCCACATTCGTGGTCACTTTTTCTCCTCTGCCACCCTCTACAGAGTAGCATTATGTGCCTCATCAGCAACCTCTTTTGTTTGAGTTTCTGTCAGACAAGTAGCTGAACAATTCCCCTAGTACTCTCCCCATGGGCCAAGAACAGACCGGTCCCCCTTTCCCATCCAGGACCTCACGCATTGCTGGGGCATCTCTGCCTGTTCAGGAAGGTCGGACTTCCTTGCCTCTGGGTTTCAATAATAGCATCACCTTTAATGAAGTCATGCAACTTTCAGGTGGAGATTAGGGTGGGGAGGGGAAGATCAATGAAATCAAAGGTGCCATCTGGGCAGTCTTTCATTGGTTCTGGTCTTGTCATCCCAGAGCTTGCTCATTCAGTCCACGCATGTGTATCGCATGCAAGTAATGAAAAAGTTGCTGTGCTGGGTGCTATGGGGGATGCAAAGTTCCCACCATCCAACAGTTCACAGAGCACAGTCACAAAAAAACCCAGCAGAGGCAGCAAGATTGCAAAACAGTTATAAACAACAAAAGGTGAAGTTCCAAAAAGAGATCGCACCTGCTGTGCTGAGATGACCAAGAGGCTTCATCGAAAGGTGGTGATGGCGGGGCCTTCGAGAACTCGTGACATCCTGAAAGATAAACACCAGCACCAGAGAAGTGGGATGGAACACACTGCCAGCCTACATTAATTAAAAGCACAAGCTGTTGAGTTGTACACATCTGGAGTCAGGTCCTGGCACTGCTACTTACTGGCTGTGTGGCCTTGAGCAGTTACTTCACTTCTCTGAGCCTCCATTTTCTCATCTCTTAAATGGAGATAATTACAGGTCCCATTTCTCAGGTTGTTCTGAGGAGCAAAGGAGATCATGAAACCAGGATACAGTAAGCACACAATAAATGTTAGCTGTTCATTCGTTGTGGTGGTGATTTTGGTGTCTTACTTCCCTGTGATTCGCAGACACAGGCGCAGTGGCAACTTTGGCTCTGACCTGCATGTACGACAAGATCCCCGTAGGTTCAGACGAAGCTTACAGAACCCTGTTTGGTCAGGTACTAAAGGATATTGTGGAGAATATCAGCATAAGGATCGAAAGCAATGGCATCATCGGAAACATCTACAGTACTGGCCTCGCTATGCAGGTAAACACATCCCAGACGCTCCTGGTTGGGTCTGTGCCAATAAGTCTGGACTGTAGGATCAAGATTCCAGGCTTCTGCTAACATCTCTGTGAAAGTCCAACTAGTATGACTGGAGGTATATTCCTTGTAGTACCTGTTCCTCAGTTTATCTACTGGTAAAATGCAGGTGCGTGTTAATTCCTTCCTACATTATGGGTAAAGTATGAAATTCTATATTAACTCATTTCCCTTCCTTGGGGAAAAAAATGAAAAAAAGAAATCAAGAAATTTTTTAGTTTATTATTAATAATGATCAATTCATTAATAATATTTATAGACTATTGAACGTTTGAGGTATAAACAGACAGCAAGGATATTACAGCAGGTCGTCAAAAAATATGGAATTTTCCGATTCAATCTTACCAGCCACGTGTTCTTTTGTAAGCCCTTTATCCTGATCCAGAAAAGGCAGATTTTTATTCAAAATGATTAGTGAAAATGATCCGAAGTTGACTCGACCTCGCAAAAACCCCCAGTAAGTGGTAGAGCCAGGTCTGTCTGGTAGCCACGTCCATACTCAATCCCATGCTTCCCTAGTGTGTATTCCCAGGCTTGGATTCTATAAGATTCTATAAGATGTCGGATTTGATAGACCCAAATCCAACACCCTGCCCCCACCCTGGTTGATTAGGACAGCATCCTTCATGGAAGGCAGAGTGGGCAAAGATAACCAACTAGAATCAAAAATTAAAAAGCCATCTGTGGCCGAATCCTCTAATCCAAACTAAGAAGTTTGTGTTCCAAAGTCTCAAAATATCCTATGGGATTAATATAAAAATTGCACCATAAGCTCCCAGCTCAGAAAGCCCAGGAAAAGGAAAATCGTGAAGTTATGATGCCAGCCCTAAACCTAATAAACCTCTGGACCTCTATTAGAAAGACATTGTCTCCTGAGGGAAACAATAGAGACTGGTATAGGTATTCCACACAATAAAGGTTAGAAAAGGGCCTGAACAGCCCAGGAATTAGTTCATGTTAAACACAAGAGTGAAAACAAAGCTCTCACTTCAATGGCACGGTCAATGAGATTCTGTCCTAGAACAAAACCCTGGTTTTTTTCCATGGCTGAATCATACAAGAGCATTCCAAGAGTTTGGGTCTATAAAGCTTTGTGGAAGAAAAAAGACAATATGGAAGGGACATAAAATGGTTTGCGGGTAGGGAGGTTGTGTGTGTGACTTGTTTAAAATAACCTTGCTTCAACTTAGCACCAGACAAGTGTTTACTTTTCTAATTTTGTCTGTGAGTTCTGTTTGGTATTTAATCACCTGCTAGGTACACAATGATAAGCTGTTCCTGGGAATTAAAGCTTTGCCCATCAAGAGGCAAGACCTCATCCGTATCCAGATACCAAAGGCCACGCGGCTTTCCTGTTAGTTGGAGTCCCTAACCTCTTCCTACCCTCCTTACTGCCCCTAGCTGGAGTTTACCCAGGCAGCCTGAAATCTGAAATCACCAGCTGTCTAAATACATAAGCTTTTCTAATCTAAAATGTTCTGGTGTAGAAAATCAAAGGGCTCTGGAGCTATAACAACTTGGGTTTGAACCCCAGACCTGGCACCCTCTCAGGCAAATCTTGAAATTCTCTGAGTTCCATTTTCCCTACAATAGCAAGGTTGTAATTAGGTTAAATAAAATGTGGTATGCAAAAAAAAAAAAAATCACAGGACAATGTCATGCTTAATAATTGTTCCTGGTCTCTCCCAGCAGAACAGTAGTGCTGTTAAACCTCCTTTTCTGCCTTTGCTCACTCTCTTCCAAGATGTGCATGCCCTTCAAGTGGCCCCAGGGACCCTCACCCCTTCCCAAAGGCACTCATGAGGCATATCCTCTGTTCTAGAACTGTTCTTCTTTCTTCCATCAATATTTGGCTTCTTTCAAGTTTCCTCTAATATGAACTTAACCTTGAAAAGGGATCTGACAAACTTCTTGAAAAGTTATTGATGACCTCTAACAGTTTAATGTGTTACTCCAGAGTGTTGGCATTGGTAATTTTAATCCCAAGGGGCTACATCTTGCTTAGTGGAATTTGGGAGATGCACAAGGTGAGTGGACAAGATATTGTTGCTGGGGAGTACCTGAGGCCCCTTTAAACCAAACTGCCTTGTAAAGTGGCCTCTGTCCAGAGCCATGGTTCACAGTTGCCAAGGTCAACAATGATGGTCACGACTATCTGGTTCTCCTACTACCGCCCCTAGCTGAGAAAGCCATTTCTGACTCCCCTCGACTTTCTCCTGTTGCCAATCCCAAGCTTCAGGTGAGTCATTCATCAGCAATCCCAGCCCGTTAACATGCTCTGGTGGCCACAGTCAGCACAACTCTAAAGGGAGAGAGGTGGTAATGGCAGCATCCACATCACACATTACAAAATGTTTTTATATGTTAGCCCTTTAGGACCTCAAATGATCTCCCCAACTATAGGCAGAAATTATGATTTCTATTTTACCCATGAGATATAAAACTCAGAAAAGTTACCTGAATTTCTTGGTGTATTAATCAAGACTCATTTTGCAAGTAACAAAAACCCAAGTCATTTTTGCTCAAGAAAAAATGGGGATTCACTATATTTTATACACACTGGGAACTCCAGGGCTGGATTGGGTAGTTTCAGGAATAACGAGAAGAAAGGGCTCAAATCACGATACCAGGGATCAGTGTTTTTCTATCTCTTGGACCTCATTTCCTCATTCTCTCCTGCTGCTACTTCTTCAAAGTAGCTGAAGAAGATGGTCACTAGCAGCTCCATGTTTACTTATATGGTCTCAGTTGAATAATCCCATCAGGAAAAAAAATGTTTCTCTCTCCCAATGTCTGTATGTCAGGGAAGGACTCTGATTAGTGCATATATCCACCAATCGCTGTTACCAAGGGGATGGTGCATTATCATCAGCCCAACCCAGGCCACGAGTCCACCCTGTGGCCAGCATTGTGGAGCCTCTGACTGATGGTCCTGACAAGATCACAAAGTGAGGGAGAAGTCCACCAAAGGATGTGCATGACAGTGCAAAACATGAGATCTATTCCATTTATGTGGCCAGGTTGTCCTAGACTAAAGCTCCCTCTGGAGTGTGCTTTGCCCAGCTCTCATCCTCTCCCTACGTGCAAGAATTGTTAGTAAATACGGCAGCCTAATAGTGTTCCCTGGATCTGGTCATTGCACAGATATTTGTTATGTGACTGCTAAGTGATAGACACTGTGCTAAGGGGTGGAGATACAGCACTGAAGAAGACAAATGTAGTTTCCAACCTTGTGTAGCTTCAGTTTTGGATTCAAGGTGACTGGATGATCACAACAATTAGTGATCAAGTCTGTCTTTTATAAGGTGTGTAAGGGCCAACTCTCAGCATCTATGCCTAATCTTTCTCTCTCTCTCTCTCTCTCTCTCTCTCTCTCTCTCTCTCCCCTCTCTCTCTCTCTCTCCTTTCTCATCCTGTCCCAGGCTCTCTCTGTAACACCTGAGCAACCTAACGAGGCATGGAACTGCGAGAAGACTATGGACATAATACTTGATGAGATTAAGCAGGGGAAATTCCACAACCCCATGTCCATTGCCCAAATCCTCCCTTCACTAAAAGGCAAGACGTACCTAGATGTGCCGCAGGTGTCTTGTACCCCTGGTAAGAACTCTTTTAATATCTGCCTCTCTTTACATCATAAACCAGAAACTCATGCCAGGAATAATATGTGGATCATTGTTAAGTGACATACAGCATACAGTCGTGTTATGACCATTATTCTCATGCGAGTAGAGCATTCCTGACTTCCAGTCCCCAAGAGTGCACGCTAGCATACAGCCATACCATCCTGCCCTGAGAATTCAGCCCCATGTCCACTTCATTCATCGTACATTTATGGGCAAAGCATTTTGTGGAATGCTATGGAAAGAAGGTCCATGGTCCTGAAAACCAAATCACATACAGCTTCATTCATTCATTTGACAAATGTACCACCAAACATTATGCATATCTTATCATATCTGCTCTTTACAAAGTCAGGAGACAGATATGTACACAAATACTATAATACCGGAATAAAGATATAAGTATTAAGTAGAAATTAAAGCCATATACTGTGCAAAAGCAAAAGAAGAAAAGTCGTGACCAATTGTTGATTTTGTTTGGGAGGCTTAAGAGAAGAGAGTTCACATTTAAGCTGAGCCTTAAAGATCTAAATATGAAAACTTGATGCTCACAGTACACCAAGATGGGGTAGAAACTCGGCATTCTACTTTTTAATTAGAAATATCTTTATTTTACCCAATTACTAATGTAATTCAGAGATACTTAAAATTCAACCTTTGCAGAAATATGCATTTAGAAAATAAGGGGTTCTGGCCGGGCGCAGTGGCTCACGCCTGTAATCCTAGCACTCTGGGAGGCCAAGGCAGGTGAATCGCTCAAAGTCAGGAGTTCGAGACTAGCTTGAGCAAGAGCGAGATCCCGTCTCTACTAAAAATAGAAAGAAATTATCTGGACAACTAAAAAATATATAGAAAAAAATTAGCCAGGCATGGTGGTGCATGCCTGTAGTCCCAGCTTCTTGGGAGGCTGAGGCAGGAGGATCGCTTGAGCCCAGGAGTTTGAGGTTGCTGTGAGCTAGGCTGACACCACAGCACTCTAGCCAGGGCAACAGAGCCAGACTCTGTCTCAAAAAAAAAAAAAAGAAAAGAAGGGGTCCTGTATAAAAATTTTATCACCTAAGAGATAACTAGTGTTTGGTATGGATTTCTCCAACTCTTCTTTTTAATCAAATATCAAAACAAAGTATTATTTCTCTTACATTATATAGACTTCCTAAGACAAGAAGATATTAATAGGCTTATTATCTATCTCAATTTACAATCTACAGAGACCAAAATCAAGCAAACTGATCCCAATTATACCAAACACTACCACATTCACCTAACTCCTTAGGCTGCTTCCCAATAATTTCCCAGCTTTAATGAGGTGGCCATGGAGTCCTTGCCAGGATTCTACACTTGTTGTTCAAGTACTTTGTTAAATTGTATGAAACTCACTATTTTCATGAAATGTTTTCTGTGATGAGTTACCAATAACAGAGATTTTGCACTCATAATACAAACCCCATAATCTTTGCTCTTCACAGGTCATGAGGTGCAACCAACTCTACCCAACGATCTTAGCCCTGTTCCCACCTCAGCAACCAACATCACTGTCATATACACCATAAATAACCAGCTGAGAGGCGTAGAGCTACTCTTCAATGTGACCATTGATGTTAGTGTGAAAAGTGGATCAGTGCTACTTGTTGTCCTTGAAGAAGCACAGTGCAAAAATTCCATGTTCAAGTGAGTGTTACAAGTGGTGTTCACCATTCTCTCCAGGTCTAACCTGAATTCCAATTCTCTCTCTCTCTCTTCCTTCATTTTCTTACTTTTTTTTTCTTTTGATTATTTAATAGATTATTATTTGACAGCCTCTTGAGGAGCTTGCAATCTAGTAAATAGGCAAGTCTCTCATGAATAATTAAATCATACAAGTCAATATATGATGGAGTTTTAAAAACAGAAATTGAGAGGAGGGAAAGTCCATTGTGGATCAGAATAGTCAAAGAAAGCTCTGTGGCTTTGGACCACAAAGAATAGGTACTACTTAGGAAGATGTGGGAAGCGGTTATTGTAGGAAGAAGAAATGGGTAGAACAAAGCATTTGCAATGAAGTAAGCAAAAAATTTGGGGTCAGCAAATAAGCCAGCTTGACTAGAGGATAGAATACGTGACCAAATTGAGTCAGTGATGTCTACAAGGGTAGGTTGGGTGAAGCCTGAAATGCCTGACTAAGGAGACTGGATTTCATTTTACAGGGAAGCATTGCAAGCTTTTGACTAAGAAAATCCATGATGTAAAATGTTACTTGGGTGGTGAGAATAGGAGACAAGGCTGAAATCTAGGGCACGACTACACTAGTGAAGCTGTGAAGTGATGAGGACCCTATCCAGGATAAACGGACTCACACCAAGGAAGCCTCCCCAGGGCTCCGTGAGTGACCAGATGTGGAGGTCAAGAGAAAGAAGCTTCAGAACTATTCACAGGAGTGTTGAGAAGAAAGAACACCTTTCAAAAAAATAGATGTAATTCCTTAGACATGTTTAATGGTGGGTCTTCAAAATAGAAATATCAGCAGGCTTGGGGAGGTATAGAAGAAGTTCTAGGAAAAGATGTCAGGACAGGCAAAAAATATTGGACAGTCATCCGAAAGAGGTGATGGCTGAAGTTAAGGAGCTGTGCAATAGGTGGCAGACACATGTACCCAGTTAAGACAGATCCAATTATCCCCACTTTACAGATAGAAATTTTAGGCCCAAAGAAGCTAAGTAACATTCCTAAGACCACATAATGTGTGACCAATAGAGTTGAGAGCTGAACCCAAATTGGACTGACTCTGATGCTCATGTTCTTTCCATGCTGCGGTCAGGGAAGAGCAGGATACAGAAATAAATCACAGAGGAGAAAATTAAACTTCAGGGAATGTTGATAGTTTGCAAAAATAAGAAGTGGTAAGGAAATATGGAGAAGTCTAAGCTAACGGAGTAAAGAAGTGCCAAGTCATGGAAAGGAAAAGAGGAGATACTTTCAAAGAAAAGAAGATATGATCCAAATTCTGCAGAGAGATGTCAAGGAGGAATACTGACAAAAGCCAAAGAAGTGACAACTGAGTGATATTACATGGGGATCTATTCCACCAGGCTCTGTTGAGCACATTGTATCTGCTGCCAACTGCATGGCGCCATAACTTCCCTAACTTACAGAGGCAGGTCAGGATAAAAGTTGCACTTCAACCCCTCTGAATAGATTATACTATACTTCTCTGAGCTTAGCTTTAATTGTGCCTGATTTTTCTTTTTCTGGTTGTAAATGCAATAGATACACATAGCAGAAATTTTGACAGGAAAAGCATAAAGAAGAAAACAAATCATCTGCAGTCCTTCCACAATATAGCCACTGCTGAGGTTTTTTATAATTTTGTAGATGTGTTTTTTCTATGCATGTTACAAATAGTTGTGATCATCAACTACATGGGACAGACAGCTATTTTATGTAAACTTTGGATCCCATGATTTCACTGAACATTATTATGTATTTTCCCACGTTACTGAAAATTATTGAAAAATATAATTTTTGTAACTTCCAAATAGTCAATCTTGGATATTCATTCCATTACTCATCTAATTATTTGCCCATTGTTGGATATTTACATTTTTTAATTTGCTTATTGATAGGTGTTTAAAAAGTCCATTCATTTTAATTTCATTTAATTCCAAGTGAATTAATTTCATATTCATTAGTCATTTGCATTTTCTCTTTTGAGCATGATTTTATCTTATCTTTAAAAAATTCAAGATGTCTCTGTCCCCTTCATCTTACCCCCTTATTGCCTGACTTAAGTGAGGTAGTAATCATACATGATTTTTTTCTTAGATTTGAAACTACAATGACATCTTGGGGCCCTGTCGTCTCTTCTATCAACAATATTGCTGAGAATATTAATCACAAGACTTACTGGCAGTTCCTTAGTGGGACAACACCTTTGAATGAAGGTGAGAGAAGAAAAGGAATGGGCACTTATTCCATAGTTTGAAGGCTATACTCCTTAATTCTTTTATTTAATTCATTTAATCAATAAATAACTGTGAAATTCTGTATGTATATATAGTAGTTGTATATATAGTAATTACATATATATCTATATGCATATATTATGTCTGTACATATACAGACATTAGATAGATAAATTATATATGTAATAGTGAATCTCTTTTTACTAAGAAGGAAAGTAAGTCTTACAGACATGAAAGGGACAAGTACAAGGCATGCATTTAGCATGTGAGAGCAGATAATCAAATCCAGGTTTACAAACTCTAGGACAGGTGTGCTTTCTACAATAGCTTCACTCAAAATTCATTCTTAGTCCTTTTTTCGCTGTAACGGTTTTTTTAAACTCTCCAAAAAAAAGGAAGTCTGTGTGTGCATGTTTGTGTGGAGAAAGCAGGAAGCATAAAATTCAGGCTTCAGCAAAACCATAATATTTGTTAAAGTTTTTGCACAAATATTAAAATATTCTCCAACTTAAAGAGCACTGGTATATATGGTTTTGTCTAAGCATGATGTTACCTAGTTAACCTGAGGTTAATTGTCACCATGCACAGACACGTAAAGCCAAACAAAGTCAACGTAGAGCCAAGGTCATGGTTTGGTAAAGATACTTCGTTATCCAATATTACAATGAGAGAGATGTTTTTCTTAGAGTCTATCATGTATTCAAGAAAATCTGGCCAGTCATAATTTGTGGAATTGCAGCAAAACATATAACAAAGATCTTGGAGTCACACAGGGCTTGGTTAGAATCTCCTTCTGTTACTTTCTAGCTGCATGAGATAAGTAATAAATCTTCTCTGAGCTACAGCTTCCACAGCTATAAAATGAATATAGTAATAACTACTTCTTGGGTTATTATGAGGATTAGAAATAATGTGCTTAAAATGATTAAATAGAGTCCCTTTTGTATGTCATGTGTTTGAAAATAGTAGTCATCAATGTTATTAATTAGTTTTCCAACCACCTTCATCTCAAGAAATTGCCCCAGGAACTTAAATCAGGCTCATTTTCATGTCTGCCAATTACTTTTATTCCCTGGGAGAAAGAATAGTAAAGAGAAAGGCCTCTGGAATCCCCAAAGATTTAGGCCTGGAATTGTCATTCTTTCTGTTGCTTGTACCCAAAAGATCATGGATATTGTCATCACCTATCTTTCCTGTCCTGAAAGACAAAAAGTCTCAACATGCTGCCGTATTTTATTTCTTACAAAATCTTCGAAAATGAACATGAGGTCCTCCATGTTCTAATTTTGGCTTAAAGAAGCTATTTAACAATAACCATCACTTATTGCACAATTACTATGTGTCAGGTACCGTATTAGGCACCCAACAGTCATTATTTCTAATTCTGAAAATAACTCTTCAGAGTAAATATTATTAACAAAATTTTAAATGTGAGGAAAAAGAAACATATATCTTAAGGGGCTTACCCAAAGGCACAATCCACAAAATGGCAACCTAGAGACTGGAAACAAGAACTCCTTCAATCCCAATTCATTTTCTTTCCATACTAATCAAATTGCCCATTTGTCTCTGGGGTGATTTTACTCCTTTAACAAATTTAATGGGCTGATCCTTGGGGGACGGGGTGTGGAGGTGGTTACACGTAGCTCAGTCACCTCACATTACTCTGCTTGTTTCCAGGGGTTGCCGACTACATACCCTTCGACCATGAACACATCACAGCCAACTTCACACAGTACTAAGGAGAAGGTGGGTTCAGCCTCCACTGGATATCTCCAAAAGGATGGGTGGAATTTTTCCCACTTCATTTGAAATCTATGCAAAAAAGTGAATACGATGCCACCATACTCCTGGTCAAAACATGGAAAACCACTATGTAGAAGAAAGATACAAAGTTCACTGGAGCCTCAACCTCTGTGACCCATGAAAATAAAAGTTCTAGCCTCTTGACGTAATGACTGCCAGTCATCATTTAAACCTAAGATGAGGGGAAAAGAAAAAGTCCAGCTGATATTTTTGGATATTATTTTTGGAGATTTCATCTTCTTGATTAAAGAACACATTCCCTAATTCTACAAATGAAATAATATATTTTTTAAATCTCCTATTTTTTTCTTATACCAAGTACTCTTTCTCAAATCACCGAATGTAAACATACATACCTATGTACATATATATATACACACAGACACATGAACTGACCAAACTTATTTCATATGAAACTTTCAGAGAGTTCAGAACTAGGTAAATGATGTTATATCATAACTCTTCCCTTTCATTTCTAATATTTGTTCTGGGTAAAATCAAATGAAAATATATTTTACATAATTTATATATAGATACATAAATGTAATATATATTCAATATATAATATATTTTATTTGACATATATAGATCTTTGAAAAAAATTTAAGCTTTCAAAGACAATCATAACTCTAATCTTGGCTGGTAGGAGTCAACAGTGGTTGACAAACTTTCTACAGAAGGATACGAAAATTTGCACCAAAAGGCCTAAAATATATTCACCTTTGATCAGAAACAAAAAATCCCAATTCTGAATTTGTACAGAGGAAAGAATCATAAGAGAACTCACAGATATACAAAATCAAAATTTCAGCTGTGCTATTAGAGAACAGAGCTTAGGTTTACAGCCACACTACATGTCCCAAAACTGAACCCCACAATTATATAACTGAGCTACCCCATCACAGGCCTCCCATATGGGCATTTCAGAGCAAATACCTGCTCTAAGAGGTGTGAGCCACATAGGCCCACGTCCTCATTTCAAACACGTCTATTAGGTAAATCGTTCTCTCCTAGAAAAAGGCCAGGTCTGTCACTGTAATCAAAGGAAAACTCAGGGGTGGTGAATAAAATGCTCCCTCATAACATATAATGTTTATAATATGTATAAAATAGAAATAATCTATTTTCTAAGTTTTATACATTAAACATATATTAATAATAATTGAGCAACTGGGAAATGGGAAAAAATATTTTAAACCAAGATGATATTTGTTTGCTTAACAATAAATTGGGCAACCAAAGAAGTGAGTGTGTGTGTGTGTGTGTAAGAGTTTTGCCCCCAGCTTTTGTTCTAATAATAGGAAATAGGAGGAACAAGGATAGTGGGGAGAAAACAGAGGGAAATCACAGATTGGTTTTACATATGAAAACCTTGTTCGAGTTACCTACCTAAGCATTAACTCTGGGTCCGTGTTCATCTATATTGGCAGAGCTGGGGACAGGGGAATGAGGTTGACATTGGTTTCCTAAGATGAGTTGCAGTTCTGCTCTGAGGAAGTGCCTTAAAATGTATTTATATTTGCGTACGCTATAAAAATAAAGGTGGCTGTCGTAAGTGATAAAATGAGAAAATATTGCAAAGGAAAATCACCTGTGAGTACCTTGAGGTGGGAAGTCACATAACTTTTGTTTACAAAATACATCTATTTCCCAAGACATTTCAATCAATATTTTTGTGTTTCCCATACATTTTGTAGTTGGTTTCCATTTGTCATTATCTTGTGGATGAAGGATTTCCACTCTTTCCTTGGTCATTTGGGGACTATTATGAAGTTTAAGGATTTCTCCTAGCAATGCTTCTCTTGCCCCTAATTTTTATCTTATGATTATTTAGCACCAACAAATTTTCTAAGAAGAAATGATTAGGTGACTTATTATTATAATATACAGGACCTGATTTTTTTAAAGAAAAGATGGCAACACAAACTTACTAAACGAAAAGTCAAGACTAACTGCATATACATGGGAAGTATCTATCAGGGAGAAACCTAACATTCCCTCTGAAGTTTTTCTCATTATTTTATAGCTTCTACTCACGTTTTCTCATAGTCCCACAAGCAAGGACCATTTTTGCTTCATAATATATCCCCAACACCTAGCATAGCACCTGAAATCAAAATATGTATTGAATTAATGCATTATTTCAGTTTTGAAAAGGTAAGTTACAGTTGGAAACCACAGTCTGCAGCTACAGCATGAGAAGAAATCTGGACTTGGAATCAAAAGATTTTGTGTAGTCACCCTGTATTTGCTTGCAAACAAGTTGAGTAACCCGAAGAAGTCTCTAAGAAACTCAAAGATAAGTTTCTACATCTATAAAATGAGGGATTTAGCATTGAATCATCTCTAAAATTCTCTTCAGTTTGGAACAGTCTTGAGAATTGTATTCTCTGAGATATATATATTGTTTATAATAAGCTACCTACCCTAATGTATTGGCTGTAATAGAGAACAATGAATTAAAGTGTAACATTTCCCTCCAACCATAATCATGTGTATGTGCTCATTTTTTTAATTTTATTTTTAATTTTTTAATGGCCATGCTCATCTTCTCTGTATCGTTCCAATTTTAGTATATGTGCTGCCGAAGCGAGCACTGTGTGTGCTCATTATTGCATAATGCCAATGCCCAAGCATGCATTGGGTCAGGTTTCAGTGACTATAATAAGCACTTTGTGACCTCTGCTGGCCATGGATGGTACTTTCTTTAGGAGAGTGGTCAATTATGCATAACTATTAATATTTAATATTTTTGTGAAGATACAGGGTAGAAAAGAGGGACAACTGTTAGCAAATACTTTTCTCCCATTTAAGAATTGTATACAATTGTGCTTGCCTTTAACTAGGTATATAAATGACCTTTAACAAGGACATGATTGAAGATAACACACTGTTAAGGAACTGCAACTAAACAGATGACACTTTCAGTCCCTTTGAACTGAGATCCTATAATTCTTTGAAATAGCAAAAGCCTCAGGTCTCACTGAAAAGTGCAAATAGCTCTGAGATTAAATTTTTTTTAAAAAGGAACAAGAATTCTAGCCGAAAAAATAAAAACAGAGAATGTGGAACTTAACAGAATGGTTCTAAACTTTATCTTGAAGAATAAACACACAAAACATAGCCAGGGTGTTTTCTGCAAAGTAGAGTGCAAAAACAAAGAACTTGACCAAACAGATATAAAAGTATGTAATAAAGTGACAATAATGTAAACAGCGTCTGTCTTTATGTTTGGTCTCAAAACATGGGAATGGAATAAAATATCAAAACAGACCAAAAAAATTATGTGAGAATTTAGTACATTATGAAGTCATATATTAAATGAAAAAATAGACAAAGTATACAAGCAAATCACACATGCAGCAAACAAATGGACAAAAATATATGAAATCAAAGACATGAGAAAAAATGCGACATCATTCATCATTAAGGAAATGTAAACTAACCTCCAACCAGCATGTCAGTTATATCAAGTGGGACTTGGAGAATACTATCAGAAATCAACTGATTTAGTTTACTATTGCTTATCCAAACCAACTCTGTGAGGCTGTTTTTGTTTTTCTTTGTTTTTTTGCATTTTTAATGACTCTCTGATTTAAAAAAGAAATAAAGTTGTGTTGTCACTTCTAGCCACAGAAACCTAAAATGTCCAGTGCTGTGTAATAGTCACAACTCTGAATTCCACTTAAAGGAAAAGGAGCTCTCCTCCCCCAGGCCAGTCCTGCTGCAGGTAAAGAGACAGTAGCCACAGCACAATGGAGAACAGGGAGTGCTTCTATTTCCTCACTTTGCACTTTTACCAATCAAGTGAGACCTTTCCTACCCCTGATCTCTCTTTGTTTCTGACTCCCCTGGGATAGCACCTGTTGTGGGCTGAATCATGTCCCCTCACAAAAAATATGTTGGATTGCTGACCCCCAATACTACAGAATGTGACCCTATTTGGAGACAGGGTCTTTACAGAGGAAATCAACTAAAAATGAGGTCATTTGGGTGGGTCCTAGTCCAACATGCTGGTGTCCTTATAAAAAGGGAAAATTTTTGCCTACATTAACAGATACAAACAAAGGGAAGATGGCCATCTGCAAGCCGAAGAGAGAGGCCTGAGAAAGATCCTTCCTCATAGTCCTCAGAAGGAACCAAGCCTGCACACACCTTGATTTCAGACTTCCAGACTTTCAGACTTCTAGAACTGCAAGGCAATAAACTTCTTCTGTTTAAGCCACCCAGTTTGTGGTACTTTGTGAAATGAATGATTTTCTATTGTTGCCCAGTCAAGTTTTTTACAAATCTGTTATTATAGACCATGCTGCAATAAACAAACTTATATATTTGCTTTCTACACATCTGATAAAGGGCTGATAACAAGAATCTATATAGATCTTAAGAAAATGAATAAGAAAAAAAATCAAATAACCCCACCAATAAATGGTCAAAGGACATGAACAGAAACTTTTCAAAAGAAGACAGACTAATGGCTAGCAAACATACAAAAAAGTGCTCAACATCTGTAATCATTAGGGAAATGCAAATCAAAACTATAATGAAATATCACCTAACTCCAGTGAGAATGGCCCTTATCAAAAAGTCCCAAAACAAGAAATGCTGGCGAGGATGTGGAGAGATAGGAACACTCTTACACTGTTAGTGGGACTGCAGACTAGTGCGACCCCTGCGGAAAGTCATTTGGAGATACCTCAAAGAGCTAAAAATAGAAATACCATTTGATCCAGCTATCCCACTACTAGGCATCTATCCACAGGAAAAAAGACATTCTGTAAAAAAGACATCTGCACTAGAACATTTATAGCAGCACAATTCACAATTACAAAAATATGGAAACAACCCAATTGCCCATCAATACATGAGTAGATTAATAAAATGTGGTATATGTGTACCATGGAATACTACTCAACTACAAAAAACAATGGTGATT